GGAGGGAGTTTGGGTGCAGGATGCAGGCTCTGGGAGGGAGTTTAGGTACAGGCTCTAGGCTGGGGCAGGGGGTTGGGGTGCAGGAGAGAGTCGGGGGTCGGTGTTTACCTCGGGCGGCTCACGAAAGCGACCAGCACATCCCTCTGGCAGCAGCTCCTACAAAGGGGGGCAAGAAGGGGGTCTCAGTGCACCGCTGCCCACAGGCACCGCCCCTGCAGCTCCCATTGGCCGCAGTTCCTGGCCAATGACAGCTGCGGAGTCGGCACTGGGGGTGGGAGCAGCACCCAGAGACCCCCGTTTGCCCCCCCAGGGGCCACAGGGACAGTGCCAGGAGCGGCGCAGAGCCAAGGCAGGTAAGGGAGCCTGCCTTAGCCCTGCTGCCACGCCTGACTGTTTGTGCCCCAAATCTCCTGGTTTAGCTGAAGTAGCCTCCGGGAGATAGAGTGTGATTCCAGGAGACTCCTGGTGAAACTGGGAGGGTTGGCAACCCTAATTCTGCCTGCACGCTCCAACACATCCCCTCCCTCTTATTGCTTCCTCCTCACCAACTCTTTGGGCCCTGTCCGCCTCTACCTATGCTGTGCATGTTATGCACCTGTCTTTCTTTTGCTTACCTGCTTGTTGTAAATTACTTCCTATTATTTAAATTCTAGAAAGCATTCTAAGACTGTTTATTGTGAACACAGTGTATATAGTACATTGAGGTCCTATTCCTTGTCTGAGGACCTTAGATACTACTGTATCTATTGAAATAATAATAGCTTGCAGGATTGGAATTTAAGAGGACTGGATTCCAGAGCTCAGGACCATGTATCCCTATATGAACCTAAAAATATTATTCCAATAATAAGCAAGAGAAATCCTACTGTTCTTATAAAAAAAACTGTGCTATGTGTACTACCTTTACAACTTGGCATAAGGACCTTAGTTACTGTAAAATTACAAAGCACACCCTCTTTTGACATTCTGATTAATAATCATCTGGAGTTCTTAGGGGCAATCAACAGCAGATGTGGGATGAATGTGAGATCCGGGAGCACTATGGTCCGTATTATAGAGGAGGTCAGACAACACGAAAAGGTCCCTTACCAAAGGCTTGTAAGTAAAGTAAGCTGTCATGGGATAAGAGGGAAGGTCCTCTCAAGGATCAGTAACTGGTTAAAAGATAGGAAACAAAGAGTAGGACTAAATGGTCAGTTTTCAGAATGGAGAGAGGTAAATAGTGGGGTCCCCTAGGGATCTGTACTGGGCCTAGTCCTATTTAACATATTCATAAATGATCTGGAAAAAGGGGTAAACAGTCAGGTGGCAAAATTTGCAGATGATACAAAACTACTCAAGATAGTTAAGTCCCAGGCAGACTGCGAAGAGCTACAAATGGATCTCACAAAACTGGGTGACTGGTCAACAAAATGGCAGATGAAATTTAATGTTGATAAATGCAAAGTAATGCACATTGGAAAACATAATCCTAAGTATACATATAAAATGATGGGGTCTAAATTAGCTGTTACCACTCAAGAAAGAGATCTTGGAGTCATTGTGGATTGTTCTTTGAAAACATTTGCTCAATGTCCAGCAGCAGTCAAAAAAGCTAACAGAAAGTTGGGAATCATTAAGAAAGGGATAGCTAATAAGACAGAAAATATCATATTGACTCTATATAAATCCATGGTATGCCCGCATCTTGAATACTGCATACAGATGTGGTTGCCCCATGTCAAAAAAGATATATTGGAATTAGAAAAGATTCAGAAAAGGGGCAACAAAAATGATTAAGGATATGGAACAGCTTCCATAGGAGGAGAGATTAATAAAACTGGGACTTTTCAGATGGAAAAGAGACGGCTAAGGGAGGATATGATAGAGGTCTATAAAATCATGACTGGTGTAGAGAAAGTATATAAGGAAGTGTTGTTTACTCCTCTGAACACAAGAACTAGGGGTCACCAAATGAAATTAATAGGCAGCAGGTTTAAAACAAAAGGAAGTATTTCTTCATACAATGCACAGTCAACCTATGGACGTTGTGAACATAAGAACGGCCCCAGTGGGTCAGACCAAAGGTCCATTTAGCCCAGTATCCTGTCTTCCGACAGTGGCCAGTACCAGGTGCCCAGAGGGAACGAACAGAACAGGTAATCATCAAGTGATCCATCCCCTGTCGCTCATTCCTAACTTCTGGCAAACCGAGGCTAGGAACACCATTCCTGCCCATCCTGGCTAATAGCCATTGATGGATCTATCCTCCATGAATTATCTAGTTCTTTTTGTACCCTGTAATGGTCTTGGCCTTCACAACATCCTCTGGCAAGGAGTTCCACAGGTTGACTTATCTACTTTCTCTACACCAGTCTGATTTTATAGACCTCAATCATATCTCCCCTTAGCCATCAATTTTCCAAGCTGAAAAGTCCCAATCTAATTAATCTCTCCTCATACGGAAGCCGTTCCATACCCCTAATCATTTTTGTGGCCCTTTTCTGAACCTTTTCCAATTCCAATATATCTTTTTTGAGCTGGGACGACCAAATCTGCACACAGTGTTCAAGTTGTGGGAGTACCAAGGATTTATATACAGGCAACATATTTTCTGTCCTATTATCTATCCCTTTCTCAATTATTCCCAGCATTCTGTTTGCTTTTTTGACTGCCGCTGCCATTGAGTGGATGTTTTCAGAGAATTATCCACAATGACTCCAAGATCTCTTTCTTGAGTGGTAACAGCTAATTTAGACCGCATCATTTTATATGTATAGTTGGGATTATGCTTTCCAATGTGCATTACTTCGCATTTATCAACATTAAATTTCATCTGCCATTTTCCACAGACAACCCGCCAACCTTAAGCATATTCTCACAAGCAACCACGCACCGCACCATAACAACTCTAACTCAGGTACCAACCCATGCAACAAACCTCGATGCCAATTCTGCCCACATATCTACACCAGCAACACCATCACAGGACCTAACCAGATCAGCTACAACATCACCGGCTCATTCACCTGCACATCCACCAATGTTATATATGCCATCATATGCCAGCAATGCCCCTCTGCTATGTACATTGGCCAAACTGGACAGTCACTACGCAAGAGGATAAATGGACACAAGTCAGATATCAGGAATGGCAATATACAAAAACCTGTAGGAGAACACTTCAACCTCCCTGGCCACACAATAGCAGATGTAAAGGTAGCCATCTTACAGCAAAAAAACTTCAGGACCAGACTCCAAAGAGAAACTGCTGAGCTCCAGTTCATTTGCAAATTTGACACCATCAGATCAGGATTAAACAAAGACTGTGAATGGCTATCCAACTACAGAAGCAGTTTCTTCTCCCTTGGTGTTCACACCTCAACTGCTAGCAGAGCACCTCACCCTCCCTGAATGAGCTAACCTCGTTATCTCCCTACCGATTTATACCTGCCTCTGGAGATTTCCATTACTTGCATCTGAAGAAGTGAGGTTCTTACCCACGAAAGCTTATGCTCCCAATACTTCTGTTAGTCTTAAAGGTGCCACAGGACCCTCCATCTGCCATTTTGTTGCCCAGTCACCCAGTTTTGAGAGATCCTTTTGTAGCTCTTCACAGAATGCCTGGGTCTTAACTATCTTGAGTAGTTTTGTATCATCTGCAAATTTGCCAATTTTGTCTTGAAGGCCAAGACGATAACAGTGTCCAAAAAAAAAAAAATTAGATACATTCATGGAGGATAGGTCCATCAATGGCTATTAGCCAGCATGGGCAGGGATGGTGTCCCAGAAGCTGGGACTGGGTGACAGGGGTGGATCACTTTTACCTGTTTTGTTTATTCCCTCAGGATACTGTGCTAGATGGTCCTTTGGTCTGACCCTGTATTGCCGTTCTTATGATCATTCTGGTCCTGTTTGCCCTTAGAAGTCTATTAATTATTCCTTTGTCATTATCTTCCTAGAAGTTAAAATACCATCTATGGGAGGCAACTAACTCCAGGAATTACTGTGCCCCAGCTTTTAACCTGTCACGTCAGGTATAAGTACTACATAAAAGTCAAGAATGATTCTAGTCTATAGCCATTCACTCTGGAAAACACAGCAAAGGGGGAGTTAACGGTAAGGCTCGCAGAGTTAGACACCTGAGAACATGTGACCGTACAAATTCAGTGTAAAAGAGGATGTTAGTTAACTGGGTATTCACAGCACATACATCATACACACAATGCAATAACTACAGCGAGACGTGAAGAAAATGCAAGGGACCCCGTGGCCGACCACGGAATCACCCGACTTCATGTTTTGTGCCGAACTTACAGCATTTCTAGACCAGGCTTTGAGAGGCCATGACAACAAACCCGTCAGCCCCACATGGGATGACTGCGTAAACGGGCAGTAAAGCCCAGGGCAGCAGCGGGAAGGCTCAGCGCTTTCTCCGGCGGGATGGGCGAAGGGGATAGGCTTGTCCGCCTCTGGCCCCTCCCGGCCCGAGCCCTGGCAACTCGGCCTCCAGCGCTGGGGTCGGGCCTGCTCAGGGCGTGGGGCCTAGCCCACATCCCCATTGAGTCGAGACCGCCCGGGGGAGTGGGAGCAGGGCCCGGTGCGGGATGGGCAGCGGGGACGAGCTGCCTTGGGAAGCCCCACCTCCCCTGGCCCTAGGCTCATTTACCGCCCGGCCCCCTCGCCTCGCCCTACTCCACTCCTGAGCGGAGCGCGGCCCAGCACCCGACCCGCCCCGCCCGGACCTCCCGGCTTTGATCCGCTAGAGTCGCTCCCTTCGCGGCCCACGGGCACCCCCTCCCCGGGCCGCCCCCACCGAAAGTGGGTGGTGCCGGTCGGGTTGCGTTCGGCAGCGGACCGGAAGTAACCCGGCAGTTCCAGTGGCGTAGCCCGGATGCTGCGCTGGCTGTTTCCGGCCACCTCAGTGGTAGAGGCCAGTCAGAGGGTGGCAGCAGGCAGGCAGGGAGGGCGGGCGCGGGGCCGAGCAGCGGCAGCGGCTCCCGGGTTGGAGCGGCGTAGACATGGTGCTGCTGACTATGATCGCGAGGGTGGCGGACGGGCTCCCCCTGGCCGCCTCCATGCAGGAGGATGAGCAGGTGAGAGACCGAGACACCACCACCCCTCCCGGCCCAGAACCCCCGAGATCCCCCAAGCCCCACCCTCTCCCGGCCCAGAGCCCCCCAATTTTCCCCCGCTCCCGAGACCCCCCCGATTCCCCCGCTCCCGGCCCAGAGCCCCCCACTCCCGACAGGTCCCCCCTATCTCGCCCCAGAAGTCCCCCCCCCCAAGCACTCCCTCCCGGCCCCCGAGATCCTCCCCAGATCCCTTCTCTCCCTGTTCAGCGGCCCCCCTTCCCGAGCCAGAGCCCTTCCCCAGACGCACACCCTCTCTTCCTGGCCCAGAGCCCCCCTCAGACTGAGATCCGTCCTCGGGGGGGGACACAGAGGCTGTGTGGAGGCTTACAAAGCAGACCCTAGGTGGGTTGGATGTGTGCCCTCAGAAGGCTGTGGTAGAGCTTGACTGTGCTGGCAAACGTGAGTTTCATGCAAGGTTGATGACATTTGGCACTGTTCTTCTCGGACTGTGATCCCGTTGGACACTAGACTCACCCACCCCCTGGGACGGAGAGAAAGACATGAAATAGAAATAGATGAAATAGTGTATTAATGGGTGATTAGTCCACTGACAACAGAGTGAAGTATAGCCTTATAATTCTGGAACCTAATGGTACCTTTTTAATGTTAGTTGGAGCTCTTTTCCAATTCAGCAAGGCTACTTCTGTTATAACCAATTATAATACTCATTAACATCAAACCTACCGATAAGCAGATTTACATTTTTGCCACCTTTTTATTGGCTGTTTACATTATACATTATTTAAATTAACCCTTGCACGAATGTTATTTTCAAACTATTAATACAATCATTTTAATAAGTGATTTTTAAATTTTAAAATGTTTTATTAAAAATTGTGCTAAAACAGTTATAACCAAATCATAGCCACAACATAACTTTGGGTCATGTCTTTGTTACCTTCAGTTTTTTTTATTTTACTATTTTCAATTTATTTTTAGCTTTTTTTAAACTACCAGCTTTAATTTTCCATACTTGTCTACACTTAAGCTAACTGAAACCTAAGCCTAATTTTGATTTAACCTATTTTATAGGCTACAGCAGACACAGCTTACATTGATTAAAGGTCTTTTCTGTTGGGTAGGAGTGCTACCTCCCCAAACGATACTATTTATGTGACAGAAGCATTCTTCCATCAACGTAGTTGCATCTGTCCTGGGGGTTGGTTCAGCATAGCGATGTCAGGGGGGGTGTTTTTTTCACACCCCGCCTGATGTAGGTGTGTAGACTAAGATTTATAGTCCTTGAGAAAGGCGGAGACTAGATTTGGCACCAAGTTCTAGGCACCCCGCCTCCCCCCAGCATCTAGACTCCCGAGAGAGAGACCATGTGTCTCCTCAGTATCAATGAAGTTCCTAGAGAGCCTTCCAGCACTGAGATCCCAAAGTAGATCAAAACTGTGTAAGACGCCAAGACCCACCCATCAGTGAGATTCTCACATACGTGCACACTTTTGAGGGAGCAAGCTAATACTTCTGGAGAGAGAGATCCTGGCAGTATGTCTTCACTGCAGTGTAAGCCCAGGTTAGTAGAACTCAAGTTAGCAGCAGGACCAGCGCTTCCACTAGGCGACCCTAGGCCTCACTCGCTCCGGGACCCGCCACCGAAGTGCCCCGAAGATGCGGAGCGGAAGGACCCCCCGCCGCCGAATGCTCAGAGGAGGAGCACTGCCGCCTAGGGCAGCAAAAACCCTGGCGCCGCTCCTGGTTAGCAGACCCAGGATTTGTTAACCGAGGTTTGACCATCTATACTCATTTATAACCCGAGGAATTGTTGAACCTTGGGTCCCAGCTTGGGGCTCCAGCATCCATGCTACATTATACTGGTCTGAGTCCAACCACCCTTATCCCAGACTTCTTAGCACCCTCCCAAAATGTGTCCACTCTACCCCTTTGTTCATGGTGCCATGTGGGAAAACTTGACTGTCCAGAGGACAAAGAAAGCTGGCCTGTGGGATTGTAGGACATCTTTGGCACAGCGTGAGTCTAGCAGGGCTGTGTCTACACTGCAAAGTAATAGGGCTTGAACCCTGTGTTCCAGTTTGACTCAGACTTGGACCCTTCACCCGTGGGGTACTGGGACCCAGGGTCCAAGTCCTGAGTTAGCACAATTTGTGTGTAGACAGATGGGAGTGGGGTAGGCTTAAGCCTGAGTTCAAACCTGGGGCTGACACTGCAGTATAGACATACCATTTGAATCATGAACTCTTCCCCTCTCCCTCAGGGCAGTGAGACTGAAGCACCTTCTCTGGACCAAGACCCTGCACAAGAGATGCCACAAAAAACAAAACAAAACTCCCTAGGGGACCTCCTAAATGGGGACTGAGATATTCATCAGAGGTAGATTCCTGAGATTTACCAGCACCTACCTCTTAGTTTGACTGTGTTCATTGACTTCAGATCCAATTCTGGTAAAACTGTTTGAGGTTAGCTATGGATATCATGTTAGTTTCCTTGTGGGAAAGGGCCTGCCTATACCTTAAGAGGTTGTTGTATTGTTTGTAGTTCATTTTGCCATATGGTAGAACCATGCCTAATAGACTTTTTCCCCTTCTCAGTCAGGTCGGGACCTGCAACAGTATCAGAGCCAAGCTAAACAGCTTTTCCGGAAGTTGAATGAACAGTCGCCTACCAGATGCACCCTAGAAGCAGGATCCATGGCTTTCCAGTAAGTAAAACATGCTGTCGAGATTAAGGTGGAAAATGTAGGTATCCCAACCTACATCTATAGAAAACTGAAAGGTACTTCCAGGAGACATTGGAGGTATACTAGAAATTGGGCCATCAGAGAAGAGTAAGAGTCATCCCACCAGCCATGGGAAACCTGTGCTCAGAGAGAGTGTTATTTCCTTTTATATCCTTTCAATCATTTTAAAATTTCTTTTCTTCTCTAGCATTGTTAGACTTCCTGCATTCCTATCCAGTTGTTGTATTCGGCCACTCTCTTTTCTGTAGACTGCATATATTTGGTCCCCTTTATGTTTTCTCTACAGATTGTGCCCACTAATCATTCTAGCATCTGTTGTCCTTTGGATTCTCTGAGGTTTATCAATATATTTTTTTAATAGTGAGGAGTCCCACCTATACTTAGGTTAGCATTACCACAGTTGATTCTTCCTATACAAGATTCTCTTCTCTCTCCATTCCACTATAGTATATCCTTTCATGTATCAGCCTTGCACTACGAGCTCATCTAATTTGTTGTTCATTATTTCCCTGATTCTCCTCAGCATTTCTGCTCTCCAGCAAGCATTGTCCATGTTTTATACACTTTTGATTAGTATTAATAACCCGAAGTGTCTTAGCTGCATTTAGCTCATCCCTTTGAGTTCACTGTCTCACTCTAAAACCTTCCATAATGTTTGCCCTTTGCTTTCATTGTAAACCCTTCTAAGTTAGGGTCATCTGCAAATCTTACTGATGTACAACATAGTTCTAGCAGACTTGCTCAGGGTAAGCAGCGAGCTGGCAAAATCTGCAGGCGACACAACATCATGTAGGTTAAGACCTAAGAAGACTGATGTACTTCAGAGGGACTTAATCAAGCTAGGCAGCACAGTGGCAGTTGAAGTGAAATGTTGACACATTCAAAGCTATGCACATTGGAACCTCCTAGGTTCTAAACCAGGGGTTGGCAACCTTTCAGAAGTGGTGTGCTGAGTCTTCATTTATTCACTCTAATTTAAGGAGGTTTCGCGTGCCAGTAATACATTTTAATGTTTTTAGAAGGTCTCTTTCTATAAGTCTATAATATATAACGAAACTATTGTTGTATGTAAAGTAAATAAGGTTTTTAAAATCTTTAAGAAGCTTCATTTAAAATTAAATTAATATGCAGAGCCCCCCGGACCGGTGGCCAGGACCTGGGCAGTGTGAGTGCCACTGAAAATCAGCTCGCGTGCCGCCTTCGGCACATGTGCCATAGGTTGCCTACCCCTGTTCTAAACTAAAGATTGAAAACATTTGACTGGCTACCTTTAGAGAGGAGATTAATAAGAGGGGACATAAAAGTATACAAAATGATGAAAGTTATAGAGAAGGTAGAGGCACCTCTAATCACCTTCTCTCATAACACAAAAACAAGGGAACAGCGAAGTAAACAAAAAGTCAAAACTGATAAAGGAAATTGTTTTCAATGCAATTAATTGCCACAGGATCTCATTGAGGGCAAGACGGTAGCAAGATTTAAAAAATTTGTACAGGTAAAAATATCTAGAGTTAAAAACCCTTGTTTGGAAGCACTCTCATGGCACAAAGCCAGTCTGTAATAGTTGGGGCTTAGGAGGCAGCTTTCCTCAAGATGGGTTAACTCATAATCACTTACTGCAGGTTTTTCCACATTTTTTCACTTTTCTCTAAAGCAGTCTGGTGCTGGCCATTGTTGGCAATGGGGTGCTGGACTAGGTAGCCCACTGGTTTGATCCAGTCAGGCAATTCCTGTGTTGAGAATTTCTGTTCCCAAAGATGCTACTTGATATCTCTTACCAGTTTGCAGTCAATCTGTCAGTCATTTGTTTCCATACCACAATATTATCCAAACATCATTCTGACTTCCACTGAGATGCCTGGGGAAGATTATATCTAAATCATACTAAAGCTCTTGCTATGTAGTGTCCATAGTTCTCTCTGCTTACCAAACTTATAACTATATCAAAAAAGTCTATCCGGTTTTTGGTCACAGTTATTTATGAATCACAACCACCTTGCAGTGGCTTTGATCTCATCAGAGCTGTTAAACTAAGAAAATTACAGCCAAGTTCAGTATTTCTCTGGGAGATCTTAGAGGTGCAGTTGAGGGGTGTTGGAAGTGTTGTGGGTGAGTAGGCAGGGGAGGAGCACTTTGCCCTGTGAGTCAGCATTGAAGCAGTTCTTCAGCCAACTGTTAAGGCAGGGGTGGGCAAACTACGGCCCGCGGGCCGGATCTGGCCCCACAGGGCTTTGGATCTGGCCCACGGGATTGCCCTCTGTGGCACTGTGGGCCCCACGCCCCTGCAGCCCTCGGGCGGGGGGGCTCCATGCGTTACCCTTGCCTCCAGGCATCACCCCCCGCAGCTCCCATTGGCTGGGAACGGGGAACCGCGGCCAATGGGAGCTTCGGGGGAGGTACCTGGAGGCGCGGCAAGGGCAGAGCACATGGAGCCCTCCGCCCCGCCCTCCCACAGGGGCCGCAGCGGTGCCCTGAGCCCAGTGCACGCCGCTGCCACCCCAGAGCCGCTTTAGGTAAGCGGCGCCAGGCCGGAGCCCAAACCCCTCCTGCCCCCTAACTGCCTGCCCCAAGCCCCTGCCTGCCCCTCGCACCCCTCCTGCACCCCAACTCCCTGCCCTGAACTCCCTGCTGCATCCTGCACCCCTGTGCACCCCAACTCCCTGCCCTGAGCCACCTTGTACATCCTGCACCCCAACCCCCTGCCCTGAGCTCCCTGCTGCACCCTGCACCCCTGTGCACCCCAACCCCTTGCCCTGAGCCCCCTGCCACACCCTGCACCCCAACCCCTGCCCTGAGCCCCCTCCTGCACGCCGCACCCCTCCTACACCCCAACCCCCTGCCCTGAGCCCCCTCTGACCCAATCCCTTGCCCTGAGCCCCTTCTTGTACACTGCACCCCCTCCCACACCCCGCACTCCCTCCCACACCGCAACCCCCTGCCCCGGCCCTGCATACAATTTCCCCACTCAGATGTGGCCCTTGGCCCAAACAGTTTGCCCACCCCTGTGTTAAGAGGTGCAGATTGCTGCTGGTGCCATTTTTAGGATGAGACATAAAGTCACAGATGAAAAAGAAAATCAGTTTTAGTTTTAAACAAAAATTCTAATGAAACTTTTGATAATGCTGAATAAAAAAAAATGGTGTTTGAGATTTGGCCTAAAATAGTCCTCTTTAGTGGCTAGTGCATTAGCTTGGCCGAGGAAAAAAATGTTCTTCGTTAACTGACATTCTAACTGCTTGAAAATAACATAGTGCAGAGTAAAAAATGCCATGACAGATGTCGTGGAGCAAAATGGAATGTGCACTTCTCCAAATGTGCTGAGGTGTTAATATGAATAGCCTTGAAACTGACAAAGTTTGAAGAAAATTTGGCTCTCACTGAGACCCCAGACCAAGTTTGAAGAATTTTCTTCGGCCATTTTAATGTTGGAGATTAAAGTCAAAAAGCCTTACAACCAACTCAGTTATCATGGCATGTGAGTATACACACTGATAGGTATGCAGGTGATAAGTGCCTATGCAGTCCGCTGTGAAATTAGTTACTAGCTGACCTTTGGCTGATTAGTGTTGTAAGTCTTTAAGTGCACAGATTACTAGTTTCATGAAAAGGCAACTCTTGGCCTTTGCCAGCTGGTGCCTCTTAAAGAAGTGTTTTTTTTCTCTCTCTTAAAATAAATGTAAAATATTAAAATAAATATAAGAAATTAAATTCCAAAAGTATATTAATTAAGATTGCACAGATAAACATTCAGAAATCAAGAATGCAAAAAGTTAAAGGTGGCCAACTGTATCTCTCTCCCCTACATACATGCATTGCAAAAAGGGCTAATTACATGATTTTATACTGTGTTAAAATTTATACCAAAAAAGTGTTAGTGCAGTGTTAAAGTTGCGAAATCAAGCCGTTACGTGAGAAAATTTATATTACGGTTAATCTGGGGTGGCAATGCTATGCGGCATTGGAAATCTGTGTGCTTTCTCTACTGATATAGAAAACTTGGAATCCGAAACAGCTAATATCACAAAAGGAGTAAAAACAGCTCTGGGAAACATGGAGACCAAGGCAAGAGAGCTCAGATCAAAACCGGCTGGCCTAAAGTGTGATGGTGCGGCTGTGCATATGACAGGAGACCGTGTTAAGAGAAGATATTGTACTCTAGCTTGCTGTTACACCTCTACCCCGATATAACGCTACCCGATATAACACGAATTCAGCTATAACGCGGTAAAGCAGTGCTCCAGGGGGGCGGGGCTGTGCACTCCGGTGGATTAAAGCAAGTTCGATATAAAGCGGTTTCACCTATAATGCGGTAAGATTTTTTGGCTCCCGAGGACAGCGTTATATCGAGGTAGAGGTGTATGTGCCTCATAGGAGATTATCCCTATCTTAAAAGGTTTTGTTTTGAAATATGTTTTCTCATTTTGCTCTTCGAATCCTGAAAGATTATGTATGGATTGCTCAAGCTCTTGATAATGATTTGAGGTAACAGTGGGTTATGCTGGGAGGGATCCAGTATGTGTGTTGGGTTGGTAGTCAGGTCAGAACACTGAAGACAAGGATCAAAAATGATCGTTTGGCTAGCACTGTTTTGGAACATACTTTAGAAACTGGGTCATGGACTGATGTGGAACAAGTTAGGGGCTTTCTTAGGGTAAATCAAGAAGCTAATTTGTGAGTATATTCTATTCCATGGTGGACAGTGGTGACTACACTCTTACTGTTCAAGGCAAGCCCCGTTGTTGTTTGAGGCTTTTTACTAAAGCTAGGAAGTACCATGTTGGGAGTGCAACAAAAACAGATAATCCTGGCCTCTCTGTCCAAAAATTAATTCTTGAATGTGGCAAATTTGAAGGATTTAAACATTTCTGGGTCGCTAGAGGCTAAGCTGAGGAAAAATCAGATCTGTATGCTTGAAGCTGCTGTTGAACATATGGATACCAGAATTACCAGGCTATTGTATGGTTTCAAAACTTTCATTCCACACAGCAGCCTAGTGATTGAGAAAATAATTGGCCCATTATGGCAATGTACAAATTAACAGCGTGCTAAATCACTACATATGTGTGTTAAGTAAAGAGAAAAGGATAGGTGACTTACCAGTTACTTTTAATGCCAATAAATCCACAATAGTGCATATGCATAATGAAAGTTTTGAACCCCTAGGCAACCTACCTTAGTCCCATCAATAACAATATAACCTCTATGTCCTCATTGTCTTGTATCACTGTGGTGCTACAATACGAGTTTTCCACAGTTATTTAAATTAAAACAAGCCCCCAAACACACACGTGTGCTTTGTTGCATGCCATGACTTGGGCCATTCAATTATATCTGCATCCAGTGTAGGTGACTTTCAGCCCTCTCTGGTATGCTGTACTACTGTCTGGAAGAGCAACAAACATGGTAATAAACATAATCACAGTTAGCATTCAACAGCAGGCAGCACTAGTTAGTGGAGGGGTAGCTAAGTGCTGTTCTATATGTTCAGATCTAAATCTCAAAATCCAATGGACTTCATCCAATCAGATTTGTTCTTGAATTAGAAATAAAATACATATTCTCTGTTCTGGCATGGGAACTCAAACTGACACTAAAGTAAGGACAAAACTAAACTTGCAAGAACAAATGATAGTTAGACACTAAAAAGGGGATTGGGGGTGGGGGGGGGGAAGGGATTAAACCCTGGCTCATTAGTCAAAAACAAAACAAGTGGAATGCAGTAAAGTGCCATTAAGCAGTCACACCAGCTACTATATTTCATCATAGCCTACATGTGAATGAGGCCACAGCCTGAAAATTATTGGCACAATCACACTTTCTTGTCAGATAACAAAACCTGAAGTCCCAGTGGTCCATGGACAAGCAGCATTTCTGTTTCTCAGCTTGCCTCTGTGAGGCTTTGTGTATGGGAAATGGAGTCCCATGTCTAAGACTCATCCAGGGTGGAGTTTGGGATGCCCCAACTAGTCTCCTAAGGCTGTGCAGGGCTGACTACCTATCTGATGATTGCCAGGGGATTGATGCAGTTCTGAATCTCTGTAGGAGATGCCACAATAGTCTTCTCTCCCTATTCCCCCCACCCCCCCTGTCCTGCTGACCTCCAGGAGAAGATGCTCCTGTGCACTGTACAACATATCCTCTCCCCCATACATTATGGAGCTGCCCTACTGGGTCAGACCACGGTGCATCTTGGTCAGTATCCTGGCTCCGACAGTGGTCTGTACCAAAGCTTGAGGGGGAGTATACAGAACAGGGCAATTATGGAGTGATCCACCCCATCTTTCACTCCTGGCTTTTTGTAGTCAGAGGTTAGGGTTGCCCTGTGTATGCGTTTGCCTTCCTGACTGTTTTGGCTAATAGCCATTGATGGACTTATCCTTGATGGACTTATTCAGTTCTTTTTTTTAACCGAGTTATACTTTTGGCCATCACAATACCTGTGTCAATGAGTTCCACAGGTCAGTTGTGTGTCGTGAAAAAGTACCTTCTCTTGTTTATATAAAACCTGCTCCCTGTTAATTTCATCACCTGAGCCTTGGTTTTTATATTATGGGAAAGGCTAAATAACACTTCTCTGCGCTCACTTTCTCCATGCTGTTCATTTTATAGACCTCTATCATATCCCCCCCTTAGTCGTCTCTTTTCTAATCTTTTTTAGTCTCTCCTCATACGGAAGCCATTCCCTACCCTTGATCATCTTTGTTGCCCTTTTCTGTACCTTTTCCAGTTCCACTACATCCTTTTTGAGATAGGGTGACCAGAACTGGACGTAGTATTCAAGGTGTGGATTTACCGTGGATTTATACAGTGGGATTATGATAATATCTGATTTATTTTCTTTCCCTTTCCTAATAGTTCTTAAGATACTGTTAAGCATTGTTACCACTGCTGCACGTTAAGCAGAAGTCCAGGGTGATGCCAAGATCTTCCTTGAGTGATAACAGCTAATTTAGAACCCAACATTTGGGATTATTTTTTCCAGTGTGCATTACTTTGCACTTACCAATGTTGAATTTAATCTGCCATTTTGTTACCAGAAAGGGCATGGGAGTGTGGGGCCTGCCTCCTTCAGATGACAGAATGTCAGCAGGAAGAGGGGAATGTCCCTTATTCTGCTAAATCCAATGTCAGGACTTTTTAAAACAACAAACAAAAACACTAAGGAAATTCCCAGGCAAAACTTTGTTAAAATGAAGTTAAAAGCCTTTGGCAGGGATTGAACCCATGATCTGAAGCCTCAATAACACTGTAGTTAGGGAAAAGAAAAGAAAAACTAAGGTATTCAGAAAGACTTAAAATGAAGCCTAACGTGTAAAACTGTGGAAATTCAGTCATGATACTTGCAGTAGAGTAACTCTGTCCTGAGCAATGCACCGAGAACCTGAAACTTAGACTACAATATCCATCCCAAACAAACATTCATTTTAGCAGGGGATGCTAGAGCTAGACTATAGTGTGCTGGTTTGTGCCAACTCAGCTGCCTTTGTGGCTATGAAGTCCAAATAAAAATGCTTTACAATGTCCTGGTAAGATGAGCTTGCTGAAAGGAGTCATTCCCCACTCCTCATTAAGGGCTCCAACCTGCCAAGCATTGCGTGCTCTCATCACCTTGCAGGGTCAGGCCCTAGGATTCTGCATTCCAGCCAGCCATCCAAGATGATGTCTCATATAAATTCTCCTAGGAGGGTGAGTAGATGGAGATTATGGTATTTGCAGAGGAAAGGAAAGGGTTAGTGCAATGACAAGATATCTCAATATTGGGGAGACACGTATGAAGCCTGCTGTGCGATGCCTGGTATGCTTTTGTGTGTAGTATAATAATAAACCCAAAGGCTGGGACACTCCGCCATAGAGAAGGAAATATGAGAAAGGGAAAAGTGGTGTCTTACAGGGGCAGGGTTAAAATTTGTCCGGTTTGTTCTCTTCTAGCTACGTTATTGAGAAAGGGGTGTGTTACCTGGTGTTGTGTGAGGCCACCTTCCCCAAGAAGCTGGCCTTTGCATATCTGGAGGATTTGCATTCCGAGTTTGATGAACAGCATGGAAAGAAGGTGCCGACGGTCTCCAGGCCTTATTCCTTCATTGAGTTCGGTGAGGTCCTTCCCCTTGAGACTAATTAATAAACATCCTGTTTGTTTGGCCACATTAGCCTCTCCCAGCTCAGGCCATGGAACTTACCACTGACAGTGGAGAAATCTGGTGCTCTCTATGAGCCAGGCATGCCAGGTATGTGAATGGAGAAATGGTAGGGGAAATGGCAAATTTTCTACAATCCAACTTTCCGCTTTTTCTTGTTAGCATTTGTGTGCACCTTGCTCACTCTCTCTGCAGTGTTCTGCACTGGGGTAGCCCAGAAAAAGACAGCACTGGATGCTCATGCTCCGTGGGCAGCCATATTGTTACTCTAGGCAGCGGTTCTCCCGATTGTGTTAAAGGGTGGGAAGCAAACCAGCAAACTTCCTCTCACTTGAGGTCACATGGGCAATGTAGGGACTTCCAAAACAGCCCTCAGCTGTACTTTTATGGCAGCATTGGAGAGATGTGGGAAGTGGATGTGAAGCATGGTGGAGCCAACTCTCATTAAACATTGAGGAAACCTCTGAGCTGATTGGCTTCAGATGTACATGTCCTCTTTTGGGTGGCCTGTTCTTGTAAGTCCAAAGGGCATCCATCCTGTCAACTGCTTTGTCCCTGGTGAAGGCACGCAGGATGCAACGTGCTCTAAAACAAGTCATCAGTGTTCCTTGTGTCTGTCAGGGGAGGAAGGGGTTGTTAAATTGCCCTTGGGGTATGCTGTCATGAGGTCAGGTGGTTGGGATCTACTCAGAGCGGGGTAAGAGGTGTGGTGGTGGGTGCAGTTTTGGAGGGAAAGAGGTGGAGGCTGGCTCGAGGGATGTTCTTGGCACGGCAGGCAGGAAGTGCTGGGGGGAAAAGTTTTCCATGTTGACAACCACCTTTTGTTCCAGACACTTACATCCAGAAAACCAAAAAACTCTACATTGACAGCCGGGCAAGAAGGAACTTAGGCTCCATCAATACAGAGTTACAGGATGTGCAGAGAATCATGGTGGCCAACATTGAAGAAGTCTTACAGCGAGGAGAGGCGCTCTCAGGTACACGGAGTTCAGCTTTTGAAACTCCTTCCTCTCTCTGAGGCTGGCAGGCGGGAGATGGCTGAGGGAAGGATTCTGAGACTGGGTGGCAAAGAGGGCCTCCTGAATCAAGATTGCCTTGTAGTGTGTATGTCTGGCTGAAAGTGCATTTTCATTTGTCTGATCTACATCATAAATAAGGCTAAGATTTAGTATGGGGTATTAAAGTCATGGATAGGTCACAGGCAATAAATAAAAATTTGCGGCCCGTGACCTGTCCATGGCTTTTACTAAAAATACCTGACTAAACCTCTACTGCTGCTTCGGGCCCTGCTCGAGTGCTGGGGGTTGGCTGCCCCTGGCTGCTGCTCCTGGGGACTGCTCACCGGACGGCCTCCGGGCACTCCTGGGGCCGCTGCTCCAGCTGCCTCAGGACCGCTGCTGTTCGGGCAGTCCCCAGGGCACCCCCAAGACCGCTGCTCGGGCACTCCCCGGAGCCAGCCACACTGGCCACTGTTCTAGCAGTCCCCAGAGCCAGCTGCCTGGGGCCTCCTGAGTAGCAGGCGGTGCGGCTGGCCCCAGGGACAGCCAGAGCAGCTGGCCCCGGGTCACTCCAGCAGCGGCAGGTGCAGCTGGCTGTGGGGCGGCCCTGAAGTCAGCCAGACCAGCCGCTGCAGAAGGCATGGAGATTGCAGAAAGTCATGGAATCTGTGACTACCGTGACCTCTATGATTAAGGCTGCTATTCTTTCACAAACCATCTGGCAATTTGTAACCCTACTTTGGGAGGAGCCAAAGCCCCTTGTGGGCGTGGGGCTGTTCTTGTCCTGTGAAGATGAATGTTGGTGGTGTGTGTCAAGGACAGGAGTGATGTGTGCTAGTGTTTTGAAGGTGCTGGTGAAGTTACTGTTGACCCTTCTGTTTGGGGAGGTAAACAGTTTATATTGCATTGTGTTGTGGCTTGGCTAACGAGCTTAATGTAGGAATCCTTCAGAACATGAGGAATGGAGTATGCACAATAAATCAGATAAAGCTCCAATAGAGCAGCTGCAATTATCTATGAACACAATACAGCGGGAGTGTCTTGTTACTGTTAATCCTGCAATTAATCTGCTTCCACTTTCTCTTCCTTAACAGCTTTGGATTCCAAGGCCAACAACTTGTCCAGTTTGTCCAAGAAGTACCGTCAAGATGCAAAGTATCTTAACATGCGTTCCACCTATGCCAAACTGGCAGCCGTAGCTGTGTTTTTTATCATGTTAATAGTCTATGTGAGGTTCTGGTGGCTGTGAGATGTTGGCAGTCACTGGAGAGGGAGAGCCTGTAGCATGGCAGGTGTATGTGTGCAGCACACTTTGTTCACGGGGATGTGCATTAGAATCCACACAGGACTGTCACCTTTAAGGGTGTGTCCTGAAAATGATACCTGAGTACTACACTGCTTAGTGAATCTTAATTAATCATAGGTATAAAGTCTTCTTGGTGGACTAGAGGCTTTTCCTATGAGGCACTAAACACTAGGGACTTGGTAGAGTGTGGCTTCCCAGTGTACTAAACTCATTAACAGTGCTGTTTGATGTGTCCTGGAGCAGTTAATCAGTGAAGTTTATCCTAATCAGGCGGTACTGGCAATAGTCACTTCTTCCTCCCTTTTAAAAAGTAGCTCTAGTGGGAAATGGACTCTAATGAACATTCCTTGTGTCAGCAGTGTTTGCTTTTCTAGAATCTGGGTCTGCATTTGCTTTTTTAAAACAAGACTCCCTTGTTTGAAGACTGATTCTGCACTGTACATATGTAATGGCTTTCACCCTTGTCAAACTAGCTATTGTTGGGTTTTCATTGTCTTACATCTTTGCTTGTTAAATTTTCAATTGCTTTAGGAATAAATGGATATTAAATTATGCCTTAAAATTACATTATATTTAGTCTTAGGAGAGACAGTGAAAGGCCACTATCACTGACTCCTACAAAATTAAACTACTAGTTTGTAAATCTCACTTTCCTGGCAGTTGTGTATAAGAGCTTGTTTTAACGTGACTCAGAACAGTCTGTTTGTGTAATTAAAAAGGCACTGGCCCAGGCACAATGCAAACAATTTCATCTCTGTTTTCCTGCCATCTATCTATCTCCAGAATCATTGCATTATTTCTTTCCCCTTTGTAAACATTCTTTATTCCTCAAACAAGTGTATCACTACTGCTAGCATTCCAGCACTTGCAAACTACTCTACAAAAACAGCCCAGTGTGTGTGATGAAGAAAAAGTAGAACATTTCTTTAAAGAAACATTTCCGTTTCAAGTTTCTGTGAGTTTGGTGATAGAGAATAATACAGAGTTTTAAAAACTACGATCCCTTGTTAATGTCCTGTTCTCCCGATGGTCACCCTCTCTCCACTTCTTTTGGCAAGATCTAACTGTAGCTGAAGAGAAATTCATATTGTGGGGCTACAGCATTTAATTTCTTAACTTGTTTCTCACTAGACAATGTAAATAGTTCCATCATGATGTGATTTTTTATATATATAATTTTTTTTTGGTCCAAGTGCTAGAAACTGTCTTGCCTATTAGGCTTTAGTTTTTTAAATCAAAGCTCTGTACAGGCATCCCCCACCTTTTCCACAATAAGGTGTCTGTTTCTGTCATTATCTAGCAAGTGAACACACTCTCATAGAACAGACAGAACAGAAGGAGAAATTCAAAGTTCCTCAGCACCTTCAGAAAACACTTAATCTGCTGCAACTCTGAAAGTGTAAGCTGTAACCAAGATGGTCTCCTGCAGTAAAGTAGGGCATAGGAGCGAAAAGAAGCCTGAGTGACTCCCCTCTCCTCCTCCTGGGGGCACGCAAATAGGCAGCTAAAATTTGTCTGCTGATCTACTTGCAAACCTGATCTGTCAGTCTCATCTTCTGATTTTTGCATGATGTTTCCATTTGTTTATTTGTAGAGAGCTGTACTTTTAAATTCTTAAAAGTTGTGTCCCTGACAGATGAATGTACAAGTGATCTAGGTCTGTGTGAAACTTAGGTACTGAGAGGTGAGCAGACACCACATCTAGATTCTGTAATGACCTATAGGGAGTAAAACTCTCTTGCAGTGAATGGCAGCTCAGTGAGCAGTTGCCTGCTGCAGCCCCAGTGTCACAGTGAAATAAACACTTGCAAAAGTTCATTTCCTTTAGTGTGGAGTTTCCTGTCTATATACAGTGTTTTCATAAAACACCCTCTCCTTCCTTCTCATGGTCCAATTTGTCCTGGGGTAGAACTGGGCAAAGGCCACTTGGTAAATGCTGTATTAATGGAGTAGGCTTGTACCTAGGGTGGAACATGTCCTTTAACTGGGGCTGGGCTCAATTTTTCGCCTGTAAGTTGGGTAGAGTTTGGCAAATGTCATTGTCCTTTTCTAGCCCCTAGCGGGAAAACTTCTAATGTTACCTATTACAGGTGGGCCCAAGGCCTGCCTTTGTGACCATAAATGCATGTGGAGAGTAACATGTATGCAGCTGCAGCTATTTTGTGTAGCAGTTTGCAGCTTAGGTAGGTCTCGGCCCTGAGAAGCAAGTCTTAATTAATACAGCAAGCTAGTCAGTGCCCTATGCATTCCATGGCTTTGAATTTGCTGAAGAATCCATCCCTTGCTGTACTCAGAACTGTACTCAGAATGTGTTTTTATTTTAAAAATATTGTTCCTAGTCCTTTCCAAGGTGCAGAAGATCTTAAAAACGGGATGCAGCTAGAGTACCCTGTAGTGTGACAGTGCCCCAGACCAGTGTCCTGTCTGGGAGGGATCAGTGCTACATGCTGCAGGGGAAGTTACAGGAAACCCTGAAGTTGATGGTTGTGGAATAATCTACAACCACAAGGGGGAAAGGTTTCGCCTTCCCCCGGCAGTTGTCAGTAAGTTTATGCTATGAAGCCTGAGTGTTTATGTCCTTTCTAATTTTGTGATCCTGGTTAACTGAACTCTGCATGTTCTCATTCACAATTTTTTTTAATCCTAAGATTTTGACATTAATATCTAATGCAGTGCATTCCAAATGCTAATTGTGCATTGTTTTAAATTGGCTGCCTTCGACTTGATTATATGTCCCATGAGATGGACTCCAGGTCCAACACTGCCCTGCCTTCAGTCCAAAACAGAGGCATTCTGGGAGTTGTAGGCCTCACATCAAGAAGTGCTGGGAGGATGGGCAGTATGAAAGCGGCTCCCTTACCTCAGGGCAAGAGACAGCAAGGTGGGGGAGCTTTGGCTCTCCAGTCAAAGGCTGGGAAGAGGCCTAAACAGCAACCAGTCAGAGAGGGTCACTTGGGCATCATCACAGAACCTTCAAGTAGCCAGAACTGGAGCCTGGCACCAGGTTTTCCTGAAGTACCCTGAGGAGGGGGTAGTCTGGGTAGAGATCCAGAAATGGAGACATCTCAGGTCTGGTTTACACCTAAAATTTAGGCCAATTTAGTGACATTGCTCAGGGCTGTGAAAAATGTCATGCCCTCTGTGATGTAGTTAGGTCGACCTAATCCCCATGGCAGATGCAGCTAAATTGATGGAAGAATTCTTTTGTTAACCTTCGTACCCCATCAAAGGTGGTGGATTTACTACAGCAATGGGAAAAAACCCTTCTGTTGCTTTAGTATCTATACTACAGCAGCATAGCTGTGCCACTGTAGTGCTTGTAGCATAGACATATTCATAGAGAGAAGCGAAGGTTGTAGCCTGAGCAAAGAAAAGAAGAGGGAGTTTAGGGCCAGATCAGCCTGCTTCATTAGCTTGGGCCAAAGGTGGGAGCTCCCCTTTGTCTCAAAAAACCATCAGAGGGCCCAGCTGTCACTGCAGAAAGGGGAAAAGACCTGGAGAATGTTTGAGAGATTAAACCAACTTATCAGTGAGGGAAGTAGAAACAATGGTCATGCTCCCCAGGTAAGACATTCCTTTTACTCCCATGGTCCCCGTGCTCTTTGCTAAGAGGGTCAATAGGAGACCCTCACTTACTTTCTTTATGCCACTCACTTTTTTTTATACCTGTATCTTAGCTCCTCTTATTAGTTTCTTCTCTTAACTAACTAGTTGCAGTCTTTTTCTGTTGTGGGGCGGGGGGGGAGGTCTGTCTCTCAGGCTTTGTCTACACTCCAATTAGACACCCACAGCTGGCCAGTGCCAGCTGACTCAGGCTTGTGGGACTTGGGCTAAAGGGCTGTTTAACTGCGGTGTAAACTGACCCACCCAAGGTCTTTACTCCGTTCAAAATACTGAATTAAGGTAAGTTTAGTTTGTTATATTCTGTCCATTTCTCTCTCCTCCCACAGAGCATTAGGATATTCTGCTGTTTAGTTTAAGGAGGGAAGCCATACTGCTTTACAGGTTCAGTTTTGTTTGATAAGAATCTAACTCAAATTCCATCACATCCCATATACCACAAAGTCAGCCAAAAGAGGAGGAGACTCAGACTTTGAGTTTACTTTAATATGTCTCAATGCAGAAAATACCATTTTAGCAACGTGTGGCCAGACTTTTCTTGCTCAATCTTAACTTCCAAAGATTACGTGTCAGTTGGCCACTGTGTGTCACTGAGACATTACCTGGGCTACCAGCTTCCCAAGACCCACATACAATTTATTCATAGGAACAACAGCAATAGGTTCATCCATTTAATAAATGCCTGTCAGTGGTAAAGCCAGATAAAGTTAATCAGTTTCTTAGGGGAACCTATGACCCATTTCATGGTACACACAGAACATTTTGACATTTGCATTAATATTTGGCAAGTCAGTACACTTGATAAATTTCAGATGCAGTCATTCCAGACCAAACTGCTTTGCTATCCTGTCTGCAAAGCCTTTCCCCAACTTTCTTTGGCAATGGGAGAGTCTGGATTGGAGGGGAGGGAGGAGTGGGGCGAAGCAGGGCAGGGGTTATTTTCTTTTCTAAACAGTGTGTCTGATTTGGTAGCTCAGAGATTGCACAAGGCCCTGCTGTAGTAAAGCCAGAGCGTACGAGGCACATTTCTCAACCTTTGCATGGAAGCTACTGTGCAAGCTAGAGGATGCCAGAATGAGCTCCTCTTGTCTCATCCAAAATCCTTTGTTCACCTCTTGCCTGGGGACTGTGCTGCATTATAGCTTATTTAATGCTTGTTTGTCTGCATCATACACAAAGCTCAGTGCTTATATGTAATGGGTGGGGGAAATGCCCTGTCTGGATTCCAAGGTCAGAAAGGACCCTTGTGAGCATCTCCTGTATAACACAGGCTACAGGACCTCCCCAGAACAACTTCTTTTGAGCTAGAGCAGATCTTTAAAAAACATCCAATCTTGATTTTAAAATTGCCAGTAATGGAGAATCCACCACGACAAACTGTTCCAATGGTGAGTTATCCTCACTTGTTAAAAATTTATGCCTTATTTCCAGCAGGGGGCAGTGCTGTCACAGCAAAGGACATCAGTTGTGCTTTCACTTCACTGGAATTAGAAGTTCCCCCTCCATTACCATCTCTCTTGGGAAGGAAGTTACTCCTGGCACACTGTGTAGGTTTGAGGGGGCACAGGGAAGTAGCTGATCACACTTAATGAGCTAAGAGGCTTCCATCTACTGTATAATTTGTAAGTTTCATTTACCAATATCCTGAGCTGTAGTCTCTTTTGTTAGATGAGAGAGTCCTGCTCTAGTATCAGATCTTCTCCCCAGGTGTGTACTTAGACCATGATCAA